TGAACAAATCTTAAATAAGGCAGGGAATGTGTTTACTTTTTTAGTTTTGATTTTGAGCAGCAAATTTGGAGTTACATATTGGTGCTCACCAGGAATGCATAGGCAAAATTGCACAAATTTTCACTTGAAAGAATAGTGGCGATCTTGGGATTTTTTTCTGTTCAATTTTCAAACTGTGTAAATTTAATACACTTCATCTTCAGCATGTTTAGTGCCACTTTTGTAAGTAACCACGCCCCCGTCCAGGCCACGCCCCTTCAGCTTTTTTCATCACTCGCCATTGCCATGTATGAGCATTAGCACAGGCGCCAGTATTAACACAACTTGGAAAGTGCCCTGGCTGATTCACCAGAGTTCCAGATCCCTAAAGTAGATTATGAAGGTCATCAATTGCCCCCAACATCTTATTAATAGTTTCAACTATAAATCCCTGTACGCTTTAATATTCCAAACTTATTTTACAAGATTACCATTAAAATGAAAAGTCATATATACAGAACTTAGACTGGTCAAGTTGTGAATGCATAACTGCAAATAGGTGCTAATTTTCCTGACTTTTTCCTGTGTCACGTGATCTCGCCAGAAACGAGGTTACTGACCTGAGATGGCACTCTAAATAGAATGCCATCATCATTATTTTTAAGCTGTTCATCTAACTTACATTCTCTCACTTTAAAGAAAGTAGTTTTAAAGTAGATCAAGTTGAGAATTATTTAAAGCAGCTACAAGATGTTAACTGCACTAAAAATGCAACCAAAATCCTAGTTGCGACCAACATTGTAGTGAGTGTCAGCAGCTTCAGGGATGTGAAGCAAAAACGTCTGAGCGTTACGAAACTGGGAACGGAAGACAGAAAAAAAACTTTTTTTACACAGTGGGTTTTTGTTTTTTTTTTTGTTTGGTTTGCACATTTCATAAGAGTGGGTCGAGGCATTTTGAAACTGGTGCATGGGATGCAGTTTATTTTGAAACATACATTAATGTGTGTGTGTGTGTGTGTGCACGTGTGGGTGTCTTTGTAAGATACAATCTATTCTCAGCACAAAAATAACCAAATTTCTGTCATGTGGCTTTGGCGGCGGGTCTATGTGTAAGATCTTTGGAGATGCTCAAAAGAGGGGGAGGGGTTGAAACATACATTAATGTGTGTGTGTGTGTGTGTGTGTGTGCACGTGTGGGTGTGTTTGTAAGATACAATCTATTCTCAGCACAAAAATAACCAAATTTCTGTCATGTGGCTTTGGCGGCGGGTCTATGTGTAAGATCTTTGGAGATGCTCAAAAGAGTGGGAGGGGAATTTATTTTCATTTTTTTAAAACCCTCAACATACACTACAGATGTAAGTGGAGCAAAACATCCTTGATTGCGCTGTTGGCCTGTATAGCGAGACAAAATTGGCTCGTTTTGATCGAGATACGCACTGTAAATGCTCTATAAATACAGTTGAGTTGAGTAAATGTGCTGTAAATCCTTGATGATGTCAGCAGTTTTCACAGGAGGAAAGATGACTTCAAGGGAGGCGCAGCAGCCGGGGGCGGGGGGTTTAACTGCTCAGCTAACTGCCGTATAGTTGAATCACAAATCAAATGATAAATGACCTAATTAGAATATAAATAGGAGGATCGTGAAGATTTACTTCCCATTAGACCGGCTGCTATTTGAAGAAATAATCGGTTTGAAAGGTTAAGTGAGGAATATAACATCTTTTTCGAAAGGAAGTGATGACTCAAGTCATCATAATAGTGCACCGACCAAGTCAAACGCTGAGTGCTGCTGGCCTATCCGACACACAGTTCTGATTGTAACCCATTTTGCACTTCCTGTAAAATGACCACAAAAAAACCCCAAAACTTTCCAGCCCCTGATGTCCCACATCCATTTACAGGGTTGCCTTGAGATACGAGTGATCCAATGTTCAAGTTATTTGATATATGAGCAGTTACTCTGGCATTAAAAAATATATATATATTTTTTTTTTTTGCTTAGACTTGCAATCACAAACTTCATATATGACTGCTGTATGAGATTAACTGCAATATTACACTTTGCTGTGTTCTGGCAATTTTAACAGAGATTTGTGCCATTTTTACCCCACACACTCGTGTGTTGAGCTGAGGGGAGATCAAACATGAGAGCGGCTGCTTGCGAGTGGCAGCCTGACAGTATTTCCTTCCTCCAGTCAATCACTTCAAGGAACCCGCAGACGTTTTTGCACCACTTTGCCAACCCTCGAACGTTCCGACGAGACGCGATGAAGGACGCACTCGTGCTGCTGGTGATTTTGCTGGATGTGCACGCGTTCAAGGTGTGTTGCTTTTGTTTGGATGTTTTGCAAGTTTGTTTGTTGTGTTTTAGAATACGGTTTAGGAAATACTTGCTTTACTTTTTGGACTTGTTAAAAATGAGGTACTTTTGGCTGTCAGGTTAAGTTAGTCATGAAGACAATTTCAATACTGCGGGTCTCCACTTTAAAGTTAGGAATGCACTTGCTTATCTTTTAAATATGGAGTCTTGGGAGCTTCAACATTCAGCCCAAAAACAAAAAATGCACTCCTGAAATGGAGGGCTTCTCGGTTGTCGCCTCAGCTTCCTGTCACACGAAAATTTCTTTTGCTGCTGTCAGCATGTTCATTCGTCAGCTAAATGTTTCAGTATTTTGTTGTGGTGCAAGTTAGCAAAAAATAGCCATGAGCATTTTTTTTCCCGGGTAGCAGAGATGGTGGCGATAAAAGTTCACAATGACTCCTCAGGTGAAGCACAAAGGCTGCCTCTATGCCGGTTCCTTTAGGTTTTGTAAGATGGTGTGCTACTGTTTCAAGCCCCTCCCGCGTCATTGGTCATTAGCTTTACAAAAAACGATGAATAAGGTTATTTGAAAACAGGTGTTCATTCTCAATGTGCCCACTTCTAGAGCACATTCTTTCAGAGATTCTATTCTTCCATTTTTTTAGGTGGAATATTTTGGAATATTTATTTTTAATTGCTTGTCCAAATAGTTTTCTCTCTGTCAGCTTATTTTCAAAAATGTGTCTGCAAGCGAGCCATTCTGATTTTATTTCCAGATTGTGATGTAACAGTGGGCTGACTTGACATAGTAACTGCCGCCGACACTGAGAGACAAACTCTCTAAAAGGATTGTATGGCTTTTGCGTGGTGCTGATCAATAAAAATGGAGCAAACGAATAGTTACTGACCCATTTCATTAACTGCACGTCCTAAGATACCAAGCAGAATGCATACTGGTGCGCCGGTTGTGTTTTAATTTAAATGAAGTTGTGGATTTTTTCCATCGTTGAAATTTTGTCATCCTATTTTATTGTGTCTTATTACCCCGACAAGAGCAAAAACAGCATATTTCTTGGTATTTTCTTTACATTTTAATGACAATTGTCCAGCCTTGGCAAAGGTCTGCAGTCGACAGCAAGCTGCAGAACTTAAACGAATTTTGTCCTTTCCAGCAGGTGTTATCACTGCCCTACCATGCAGACTCTCATAAAAACTGCAACAACCCGGACCGAGAATACTTGTTGGAGTCTTTGGGCCTGTGCTGCAAAAAGTGTCCTCCTGGTAAGTTTTGGAATGCCTTCCCCGGGTAACAAACACATGCACACACTTGATGAGCTATGAGATAATACGAGTCATTTGCTCCAATTATCGTGTATAGCGGTGATTTTTTTTTTTTTTTTTTATAAAGACACAGATGACAATATTTTTAATAGTACCGGTACTTCAAAATTTAAATTAGGTGTACAGTATTTTATATTCAAATGATGTTCATTTGGACCACACATGTCTATAAAAGGGTGCCGGCTGAAGCGCGAGTGCAGCGGGACATCAGAGAGTGTGTGTGAGCCGTGTGAACGTGAGCAGTACATGGAGAACTGGAACTATGCACCAAACTGCTTCCCTTGCGCTAAATGCAAAACTCGTGAGTAGCTACGAATGTCCTCCATATTGTATTTGTTTACTTGGTTGTTGAGTGTTTTTTTTTTTTCTCGTTCAATGCGTACGACAAGACAAAGGCCTGCAGTTTGCCATTGCCTGCTCCCCCACCATCATGTCCAAGTGCGCGTGTCGACCTGGCATGTACTGCATCATGGAATCTGATGAGCAACACTGTACTACCTGTCAACCCCACACATCCTGCAGAGCTGGTTATGGAGTCTCTGTGCTAGGTGTGATGATTCTCACCATTTTTTTGTGTGCATGACAAAACATCCATTACATACGGGCCGCTCATCAAAATACAATCGAGCTAGTGTTAGCCATGGGTTAAAAAAAAAAAAAAAAAAAAAAAAGGGAGTATTTGAGAATACAGTAATAGGGTTCCCAGCCCTGCTGCAGAGATAAAATAATTCATAATTGACATGACCCAAAAATGAAAGTTTAAATTGTAACTATACCACAAACTATGTCATCACAACATTTAAATATAGTTACAAATGAATTCGACAACATTGCTCTTAAACTAACTGCCTTACAGATTCTTTGATTTGGAAAAAATGCACCGTAAGAGTGCATTTACATGAACATGCTATAAAGACTCTCCACAGCAACCCAGGCTAAACCTCGCTCCTCCATGACTTACAAAGCTTATAATAAAAATAATAATGCATTTTATTGATAAGCACCTTTCAAAACACTCAAGGACACCTTATCTCTATATTGAGATGTTTCACTTAAACATACTGTACATCCTTGAAGCAATTACTGAATGTACGATTTGCCTGTTTAGATGGCTTTGGTGCCATCGCGTATGAGAACGGCCACAAAAATACAAATAGGTTTGAGTTTTTAAGCCTATTGGTGGGGATAGATTCTACAGAAAAATAAACAGACTTTGTAACTAGTGAACCGCAAATATGCATAGGATTACAGCAATAGCCAATTAGATATAAGTCCATTCATTTTAATTTTTATGATTGTCTGAGTTCTGTGTTGATAATAAAAGTGACCGAAAAAAATTGTCAAATGGTGACAAATTCCAGACACTTGAAAATAGTAGCAGCCAATTATTGTAAATATTTCTACCTTTATTTCAAGATTAAAATATACCAGATTGTTAAAAAAAAAAACAACTTTAAAATACAATGAAATAAAATGAAAAATAGAAGTGTAGCCATTTCATGCAACCAGAATATTAGAAGCATCTCTCAGTAAGATGATGCAGTTCTTCACCAGTAGAAATTGTAGATCGGATGGTGTTGTGTTGTGCTTTGCAGGTACGGCTCACTCAAACGTCAAGTGCAAACGGTGCCCTGAAGGGACATTCTCCAACACGTCCTCCGCAACAGAGCCTTGTCGGCATCATACAAGGTGAGTGAAGAGCCCCCTTGGCTATGTGTGACGGGCAGTCAGGAAGGTTCCGGACAGAATCAGACCCGACAAACGTAGACTCAGGAAAGTTGATCAAACACAAATATTTATTTACAAAAAATAGGCGCAAGGCTGACAAAGTACAAATGATGACGCCGGACAATAAGCTGGGAATAATGCTGAGAAAAAAAAAGAGCTTGCACAAAGCAAGGAAAAAAAAATGAAAAGAGCTTGTAACAAAAGTACACTAAAGACCAATCTGCGTCGAGAACAAACCGTGGATACATTAAACACACCAAGAACTACTGCCTTGAATAACAACATAAGCAAAGGCAAGAGCCAAAAAAAGGACAAAACACAAATCAAGGCAAGAACCAGAAATTGAGCGAGCATCGAGACGAAATGCAAATGAACGAGGCGAAATTATCCTCCAGTTTGACATGGGTCTATGAGGTCCTTAAATAGTCCCAATAATCTTCATGCCAGACTGGTGCGCAGCAGGAAAACCAGGAACGCCTCTGCCACTTGCTGGACACTAACGGAACGTGATCACGACAATGCGTGACTCTTTCACAGCTTACTTATCACTCTTGTGTGCAGCTGTCACGGAAGGCGTGTGTTAAGAGCAGGCACTACTACGTCAGATACGGTTTGCGAGCCTGGCCCGCTGCCACTCACGCAGACGAGCGGACATCGCAATCAGACTACGACTACGAGTCCACCGAGCGTGGTCTCAGGAGGGACCGTGGACCCTTTCTTTGGACCGGCTACTTTGGAGGTTTCACTGTCATCCTCACTGACGCAAAAAACAGGAGTTGATGGTGAACTGGGTCAGTAAATGTGATTTGAAGGAGACTTAATTTGTTTTCACAATTTAATTATTGAACACATTTCATAATGTGTGTGTGTGTCATGCTTTTGTCAAAATACATTAAGGTTCAAGAATGAAAGCCCAGAACTTGTATTTAGGGGGCAGCCCTGTCTCAAGAAAGTGAGCCAGACCATATGCGGTCCATGCCGCTCTCCAATTCAGTCTCGCGAGCATCTGCATTATCAATAATCCTGGCCTTTTTTTTTTTTTTTGCATTAATTTTTTTCTCTACATTTGGTTAATTCAAATGCATTTGCCCATGTTTAATTTATCGCTTTAAAAAATGTAATTGATTTATTGTAAATAATTAAAGAACAAAAATATTCGTAAAATTTTATTTCATTACGTACAGTCGTTTAATTACTTATGACTATCACAAATATATGAATGCAATATTTTGTTTTTCAAGTGTCCAACACAAATATGACAACTTCACTGAGCAGTAAGAACAGTACAGTATGCGAGCTGATCAAAAACCGAACACTAATCTGTGCATCCAACAAAACTCAATGCAGCTCTGCTTACCATACGGCTTTTGACAGCCCGGCGAATTTTCTATGATATGTCCCCTTTAAAATCATCCTCTTTCTGTTCACCTCAGTTGCAGCAGTCTCCGGCATTGTCGCCACAGTCACGTTTTTCATCATCGTCGCCATCGTCCTGCTGGTCCTTTATAAAACCACCTGGACCAAAGGTCTGTACTTATTTGCCTTTCTTGTGTTTTCTTATGAAAGGTAGCGTTGCTGACAAAGAAGAAAAGGCTAATGAACATTACCACTTTATTGAGACCTAGGAAAGTTATTGTCTTAAGTAATATCCAATTAATTAAATAGCAATTACATGCACTAATTCCAAATTTACATACCATACCCTAAATGAATCCAGTAATACCCACAGAATGCCAGATAATGTAACTCTACAAACATCTTCCTACAGTGAGTGTTTTCATAAACTGCACCAAGTGTGAAAGAGTGGGCTTTGTCTTTGACTTTTCTTTTGGGACACAAAATGTTCACTAAAGAACAGGAAATGGCAACTTACTGTCTTGTAGGAAAGCTTCTGTGCAATATTGGCAAATAGTTCACTAAATGGCAATTCCACACATTTTTGGTGTTTGTTTTGTGAGGCTTCAACGTTTTTTTTTGTTTTGTTTTTTTTTTAATCCAGCACATTGCATTCAAATACAGTTCTTTTTCAGTATAATACATTTGGATTTAATCTCTAAAATTTGTTTCCCACCATTTATTTAGGTACAGTATTTACCTTCTATACAATGTACATTTGAGTTTGATCTTTAAAATTTGTTTCCAAACATTTATTTAGGTCCAGTATTTAGCTGTACAATTTGAATTGATTTTTTTTTTAATTTAAATTTTTTTTTTTTAATGATCCTATATTTAAGCACAGTGTCAGTGTTTAAATGTGTTACAGTGGCATACGATTGTATTAAATAAATATACTTTGTAGGAGTAAAATAAATAAATATACTTTGTAGGAGTAAAACCTGCCATGATTTTATGAACACTTGGGCCTACTACGCTGCTGCATTTTAATGTGGGTCATTTTGCTGGTACTTGCAGAGCCAAATATTTCTTTTGGAGGTGATGCTTTGCGGAACATTTTTGAGAACCACTAAATTATTAAAAACTACAATTTCAGAAAATAAAACACTTGGAAAAATACTAAAAATAATAATTACCGTAACTGCAGCAAAAACTATAAATGTTTAAGAAGTTAAACTCAATAACTCATTTTGTAAATAAAAAACATGATGAAAACAAAAACAGCCTAAAAATATGAATTAAATCAACCTGATGAAAATTAAAAAGAAAAACAATTTGGAAATTGCAAAAAATAAAAACCACTAAAAACACTTCTAGTCAATGATTTTTCAAAATACTCTATTTTATTTTAAAAAAAAAATGAAAAATAAGTAAAACAAAAAAAGACTTACTGGTTGTATTACAATGCTGCATTCAGTGCTTGCTTAGTCAGCATATGATTCAAGCCATGTGGTGCATTACATTTCTTGATCTTCTGTCTCTGTCAGGCACAGCGAACTGTCGTCCTAAAGACACCGCGAATGAAAGCCATGAGAGTGGCAATGAAGTGAGTCATCCTCATCTTGTGGCTCATTGTAACGGACACGAAACAACGAGATGCTGATTCCCTCCATCTGCTGCAGGTCGAAACTCTGCGGCTTTCCTTCGCGGCCAACTCGCCAGGGGAACAAAGCAGCTTGCTACAGTGTACGGAGCTCAGTTGTGATTCTGGCCATGGCGGCGACGACAACGATGCCAGCTCTTCACACAGCAGCCAGGAGTCCGTTGGAGCCCTTCATTCGACCTTAGCCCTTCGCCAACCTCAGCAATCCCCGTCAGGGTCCAATGTCCATTTGTGCCCCGCGAGCGCCGGCCCGCATGTCAATGTCAATATCACGTTCAATATAGGTGACAGAGGCTCACCCTCAACCCCAGGCGACTCTGTGCTCCGCCTTGGACAGGAGGAAGAGTCTTTCAGTATCCCAAAACAGGAAGCAGAAAAAGAGTTGCCTGAGCAGGAGAGTATGGAATAAAATGTGTGAACGCCTCCTAAAGTGGGATTTGCACACGCCTATAGTCGGGCCTAATATTTTTTACCTCTTATGATCAAGGCCATATAGAAGACAAAGACTATCCTTACTGTGTGTGTGTGTGTGTGTGTGTGTGTGTGTGTGTGTGTGTGTGTGTGTGTGTGTGTATATAAATGGAGTACTCTTTTGGATGTAGCACTTAAACAGGCACCGGAATACTCTTTTGGATGTAGCAATTAAACAGGTACATGAAGTCTGCTTTCATAGTGTTCAATCTGTGAATGTGCAGCCCCCAGCTCACCTTGTCTAATTTTGTTGAGCATATCTGGTGACAGTAAACCCATTGTTTTAAAGAAGACAAGCAAATCCTCAACCCCAATTTATCCCAGTTCCCAGGTGTTTTATTAACACAGCTGCTTCATTTTTTCTTGAAATATCCCAAATATCAAGAATTACACATTCTTTGCAGCCTATTTCCTGCCGGTCATACAAAGCAAACACTGGTTTTTAACTTCAAGTGCGTGCCCATAAATTATTCCATTGTAGCATCACATCACCGATCACAAATACCCATCACCGATAAATCAACAATGCAAAATCTCATTACGAGTGGTTATTATTTTTTTATTTTGCTTGTAGCAGACAGATGCACTTTTTGAGCATGGCGTCTCTGATACACTGTTGAAACGACACTTAGATTCTCTCCTCTTTCATCTAGAACTGCTTCAAACAACAAAGCGTATGAGGGAACAGTGGTTAAGATTGCACGACTGTCCGTGTTTTTATGTTATGTGCTGTGTTTGTTATTTCGTTTTATGTTAAATGTTTTGTAAAGCACTTTGTTACATCTGCAGCTGTTGTGAAAGCGCGATATAAATCAGGATGTATTGTATTGTTCAGTATTGTGTGAATTATCTTAGGTGTTTTATCACAGTTGGGTGCAGGACAGTGAAGAATGTTTTTTCAGAAACTCATGTTTAACTTGGAATTTTTAATTTCAAAGTTTATGGGTGGACAGGCACCCCAAAGAGCCATCGACGTGAATACAAACCCCGCCCCCCTTGCAACGCACGCGCACGTTGTCCCTTTAAATGCGGTTTTGGTATGACGATGCTGCCACTTGCTGGATGAAAGCACAACCAGCAGTCTTTGTGACGAATAAAGCACATGAAAAACGTTCAATTGCCTCTTGTACATCTCAACCCAACTGTCTTAAAAGTTAAAACGCTGCTTCGACGTGATAAATTTGAGCTCGCCTGTGTCACTACGTTTAATTTTTCTTACCAACAAACCTGAAGGGAACCTGGAGGAAATCTGGAATGTTCAAATATTCGGGGGTGATAGGAGAATAAGGTTTGAATTGCATTATTTCACAAGGACAATTCCGTGGCAAATTTACTTTAAAATGCATAATTTGAATGCCGTGTGTTTTTAACAGTAATTTTTGAGCTATTAATGTCCTAGTAATACATTTGCCCCATGACCACCCCTCGTCTTTGCGACCAGTTGGTTGCGCCTGTTGCCGCTGTGTGTTGCTCTCCTTCCTGGTGGAGACTTGCCTCGGAGAAGCTGTCGATGTCTTTCAATATCCTCTGGTAAGGCAAATATTATCTGTGTTTTTTCGGGTTATTCCAATATTAACAGTCGAATTGACATTGTATTTAATCCTTAGTGCGACCTCTTCAGGTTTCCGGCTTCACGTGTTGCTTGTTAAAGGACTATTTAATTAAAGGCGTCTGTCCGGTCTCATCTCCTTCCCCCTTTGCCGCTGTTGCTGCTGGCCGTGCTCGCTTGTGTTGACAAATCTGGTTTACTAGCGAACAAGCCGCACAAAAGCCGAACAAGTGACCCAGAATTTTTTCCCCTGCGCGTGCCATTCTTTGATTTAGCAAAGATAATAAACTCCACGAAAAAGAGACTTCAGGTTTATTATATATAGCGACCCCGCCAGGGAGTAGCAGAGACACTGCAAGTGCTCGTCAGTTGGCTTCTGCAAGTTGAATTTGGACAGTTGTAATTAAAAATGCATGTAAACAGGTAGGTAAGCATTTTAAATCGTTCTCATTTCATAACGAGGTTTATTCCTGGCTCATTTCCCCTGATGAACTCCTGTCCTTTCTTACCCTGCCTTGAATTGTGAGTCTTTAATTTATTTGTAATCATTTTGATTATGATTCTTTAATCATCTATTTAACAAAAAGTATTCGTATTTTTTATTTTATTTAATATTGTTATTGACAATACACCATTTAACCAATAATTTACTGAATTTAATGGGTTACCGCCAGTGAAGAGCAGCTATTTTTGGGGATAGGGACGGAGGCTGATCACGAGCATTGAAGTATTGCGGATAATTGACACTGGAGTAATGCAATGTAACGATGTACAGTGGCGCCTTGTGGTGCGACTGCTTTGATGTACGAGTTCAGATTCTCTGCAAATATACGGAGGTCCATTGCAAAGGCCTTTTCACACTGCACTTAGCGCACAGTGTGCCACTGTCAAACACATGAATTGTGTATGTCTGAGAGGACAAAGAGTTTCTTTGATTTGCTCATTGGAAGAGCCTACAAGAACACCAAATGTCCTCCATTATTGTCCTTTATTGTATCATGTTCCTCTTCTTTGTTGAATTTAGTGCCAGGTTACAGGCTGGATTACGGTGTAGAATTCCAACTGAACACGATCGCATGCTGCTGAAAAATGACACAGTGACATTTGACATGACACTGCATTTTAACTGGAGGTAATGTTTAACCAAAAATGGTGCCGTGGTTAATGATTTCTTTCTTGTCTTTGAACAGAGATTTAAAGAAAAAAAAACCAAACCAAAGGATTCCAAATTGTTCCTCTCCCATGGCAATGACCTACACAACTGAGGATTAAAGCGTGCCATAGTGTGGTGCGACGTTCCCCTTTTTTTTTCGCAAATGGCTTGCTGGCTGAAGGACGAGCTCCTGTGTTCCATCTGCCTCAGCATCTACCAGGATCCGGTCAGCTTCGGGTGCGAGCACTACTTCTGCCGCAAGTGCATCACCGAGCACTGGAGCAGGCAGGAGCCGCACGGCGCGCGTGACTGCCCCGAGTGCCGGCGCACCTTTGCCGACCCGCTGTTGTCGCCCAGCCTCAAGCTGTCCAACATCGTGGAGCGCTACTCAGCCTTTCCGCTTGACGCCATCCTCAACGCTCAGCGCAGCTCGTACCCCTGCAAGGACCACGAGAAGGTCAAACTCTTCTGCCTCACCGACAAGAGCCTGGTGTGCTTTTTCTGCGACGAGCCGGCGCTCCACGAGCAGCATCAGGTTACCACCATTGACGAGGCCTATGAGGAGATCCAGGTAGGACACGCACACACGCATGCACAGAACTGGTCGTTCCCAAGGGCGAGGCTCACATTTCCTGAGCTTCCATCAGGCTCATCTTCACACGATGTTGCTCCAAGTCGAAATGACATTTATCTGTACATGTCTTTTACAATAAGTTCAAGTGCTTTGTGCAAGTATTACTGTTCATCCATGAAGGTTAATTTCAAACGGGGAGGGGGGGGTTATAACAGTGAAACCAAGTGTGTAATAGCTCGAGGTGTAATGCTACACCAAAAGTCACGGTTCACGGCGTATCTTGGTAATAAGTCGATCGGTCCGTACAGTATGGGAAGAAAATGCAAGCGATGTCTTGTACCCGAAAAAGTGGGGGGCAAAATTTGGGCCACTTGTACATCAAAGTACTTCCTCTGGTTGTTTTAGTCAGGATTGAGCTCAAATCTATTTTCCCCAAAGGGTCAGTTTCTAGTTATGTCCGAAAGAAAACTTTCAACTTTCCAACAGCAATGCTACTCATTAAAATCAGCATTTAAAAAAAAAAAACCACACACACTTTGAATTCAACAATTATATTCTCACCCCTAGTCGATCAAGGAAATGATTTGAAATTCCTCATCCCTGGCGTGTGCTCGTCTCGACAGCGCGGTGAATAGCCTCTGTGTGAAGCCAGAGAAAGGTTCAAATCAATCAGCGGTAGAGGACATGTCACCAGGCGCAGCACATGATGCTTCTCTTCCCTCAGATTCAAGCAGCTTGTCCCGCAGCTCGGGAAGCTCTTCAACAATCTGCCGTTTTGTATTCTGGCCGGAGCCTTGGAGGCTTCCCAGATTTGCGGCACTGAAAGGAAGTATGAGCACTGTGGGAACAAAGCAATTTCCCGTGGTGAGTTTTAAGCCGACAAGTGTCTTCAAGTGGCAATTCTCCTACAGCGAAAATCACCAAAGCACAGTCTTGGATTGAGTGTCAATTTATCTCGAAGAAATCTTTCACATCACAAATGTGGTCAGCTTGTACAAGGTTTGCTTTTATTTCCTAATCTTTGCCAGCCAGTGAATAGGAGCGGCCTGTCAGATAGAAGCATGCCTCAGAACATCGCCTGCAGGCACAACCAATCAACAATGCTCAAGTGCCAGAATTACATGTTTAGACTGTGGAGCAGTGGCATTGTTTGTTTTTTTTCCCGGTTCATATTACCAATAGTAAGTGGCATGCTCTCGCAGCGAAATGGTCTGGCTTTTGGAACTCACTTGACGCCTTCTTGTGTGGAGGTTTTTTTTTCAAGGCTTTGCTACCTGAAGGAGAAAGTTGTCTCAGAACAAGGGAGTGGTTGTGAAAGTTCTACATTAAAAAAAAAAGCTACATTGTATTGTATTCCCTTTAGCGTATCTCCAACTAGTGGATGCGTAACGCAACTGCAGCCACTATTGTAACTTCTGTTCTATGCACCTTATAATGCGGTGCGCCCTATATATGAAAACTGTTTTAAAATAGGCCATTCGTTGAAGGTTCGCCTTACACTCCGAAGCACCTTGTAGAACGGAAAATACGGTACATGTGGGGGATCTGATAAGATTCTCTCACTGTCTGTTCAAATATTTCTTGAGGGGTGCTCGGAGGTTCGGACTATTTCTGATATTTTTCAGGTATGATTAAAAAAAAAAAAAAATCCCAACTGTTTGGTTTCCGGGTGCTCCAACCTCCTCCTGCTTTCCAAAAGCATGATGCCTGTTACATTTATTTAAGACTCGAAAAAGGGCTGACGGCCACGGATGTGGAAATGTGCCTTGTCACAGATTGGTGCCTAAAGTCTGCTGGTATGACCCTAAAAATAGAAAATGGGTACATGCGTTTAGGATTCCAGACACCTTTTATAAGGTATAGCACCCATACAACAGAATACCTACGAGGGAGCACTACTGATGTGCGCAGCAGTGGTCCTCTTGTTACCTTTTGTGCCGTGAGCTTACATCATCATCTCAATGAATCACCCTCTCAACAAGCACGTCCTCCACTGACTCACCGTGGTTTGTTTCATGATCCGGGCCGGAAATATATTTCCATGCATGCGGTAGACACTACACACTGCAGACATTATGACCAATCAATCTACTCTGCCTGCAAGATGAACGATAGAGAGGTTCGGACACAGTTTGTGGTTTTGCTTATCTGGCGTGTGTCATTGTTAGTCTCCTTTCGCAAGCCTTGTTCCAAGGCAAAATAAAAATAAACCTGGCGTTGTTCTACTGGTCCTAACATGGCCCGCCCGGGGTCTTGTTTTGC